CAACGTACAACCATTTCCCCAGCTATTATCTACCCTTTCAAAGAGCTGGCTCCCCTCCTGTTTATACACTCCCTTTAGGTACCAAACTTGTCTTCTTTCAGGATATATATAGGCAATATAAATGACTAAGAAGCTGCCACTTCTGTCTTCTCTATTTCCAATCAGAAAACAGCTCACCACCTCCTACACACAGATAGCCACTCTGTATAGTCATGACATAAGCTGCTCCCTTTATCCCCCTGGTTTTCCACTTCTCCCCATTTGTCCTCCATCTGCGTTATCTAGTTTCCACTTTTATAGCTGGCCTTGAATTAGACTGTAATTCCTTGTCAAGATGGCAAAGCACACAAGATGTTCAGTACTAATCCTCGCAGGAGCCATCAAGCACTACTGAAATGCAATAGAACCTGAACTTACGGCAAGTCCACAAACTTCCACTAAAAGCGGTACACAAAGCATGGATTAACTAAGTTCCCTCAAACAGAGTACGTTTTCTTGACCCTCTGCATACAGCTTTAAGTAGACATATCAATAGTATTTTATGAGAGTCTTGAGAGGACAATAGCTCATCTAAAGAACAAAAATCAGCATGTTCAGATAGTCTTAGGTTATCTGTATCTTGTATGAAACGTAAGGGATGTGTTAAAGTACACATTATAAACCCCTGTATATAGACATAGACACAGACATGTACATAGACACATCTGAAAAAGGATACTGAGAACAATAAATAACAAGCTGGCAACAAAGCTCTCTCTGCCAAAGGTGTAGACATTTAAAACACATACCAACAAGATGCCTATCTTCTTTCAAAAGCAAACAAATGCTTTCAGTTTCAGCTTGACACAGCTATGTGCTATAACCTTGCTGCTCTTTTTCTGACATGACAGCAGTCATTGTTAGACCAAAGGCAGGCGAGTACCATCCCAACCCCACAAGCTGTTCTCTCCAGCTAGAATTCTGGCATCAAATTTAACTACTGGAGTCCACCCACACACAAAACTGATTGGCAAGACTGGAGTCTTCAAATCATCTCAGCTGACCTCTAGAAACATCTGAACCAGCCTTCAGTATTGCCTACACTTTTGCAACGGGGAAGAGGGAAGGTGAATAAACGGAAAAGGGAGAAGGGGGTGAACTGCTGGACCACAAATGACTGAGGAACTGTGATACATGTCAGACACAAACCCAATCAAATAAAGCTTCCACATTCTCTCCATCATTTTTCAGGGTTGGCCTCTTCCAGAAAAAAATATTGTCTTTTTTTTTCTCCCCCCAGTGTCACTGTAATTGGTGTATTTCCAGCTTCCAAAAGCCCTGTAAGTGGTTGTTTCCTACAAGGCTTCAGATTTCAAGTTCTAAATGAACTATTACAGAGAGGCTGCATGTGTGTACTAATCTTGTAATCTCATATCTTCAGCAAAGCCTAGAAACCAAGCCAAACAACATGTACAGCCAAGCAAGCTACATGGCAACTTGCTTCTGGAAACACAATTGAAAGTTTGTAGTTAAAAATATAGCCTAATTTATTTCTTGTTTTACTTTGTATTCAGTTTTTTGGGGGTTTTTTTGTGTTTTTTTTTTTTGTTTGTTTTTTGTTTTTTTGTTTGTTTTGTTTTTTAAAAAAAGCTTTTTCACAGCTCCTATGAGAAACTGGATGGTTTCTAGACACAGGCACCACATATAATATGTAGAAAGGTTTGGCCTAAACTCATTTGTCTGTGATAAACCAAATAGAATAGAAGTTTTAAACAGACAACTATGCTTTAGGTGTCAAACATTTCTTGACGTCTGTGGCAGTTGGCAGCTGCAAACATCCGACTGAAAGCCCCATCTGCTGCTTCACAGCTTCCAGTCGAGGATGTTTACAGTCGCTCACTGTCAACAGCAATACACATTCCTCAGCTGTTTACTTTACACTATGAACATGCAGAGGCCTCCAAGCAGGTTAGTTTAGATTGCCACAACTTCTGTTGCTGTGTTGTTACATGCAGAGGTGCATGGGGTAGTTTTATGAGTATTTACTAACAAAATAAAGGAAGCCTGACTTCCAGAGAAATATGTTCAAGCAGACAGGTGTACTTACTGCTCAAGCATTACATTTAGAGAATTACGTTGGCTATTTCACATCTGGTAAGAATTAAAAAAAAACGTATGAAATAAAGTCACTTGTTTCTATTGTTGCATTTGTTTTGTTCTCTGAGACATTAGAGCAACCCTATCACACTTCTTGCAGAAACTGCATGACTGCACTACTGAGTAAGTTAACTGATCAGTGAAATGACTAAAGACAGCAGACGGTGCTAAGATAGCACCAAACCCACTTCAGGAACGTTTCACTACAGTGCTTGAGATGGCTTTCTTCCCTGAGGAAAAGTGGATGGGAGGGAATTCTGAGATATCAGACGTTAATTCATGCAACATTTGCTTCCAAATAAAATCATAAAAGAAAAAAAAAAAAATAAGCAACCCAGAGGGGATAGCGAGGAGGAGGGAGGAAGCTCTGCAAAGGCTTCAATAAAGTTCAAACAGGTTTGAGGAATTCTACAAATCATCTGAGGTAAGCAGTTGCTGCCACAATTCACATAGTTCACAGAAAGGTATCTCTTACCAAACGAAGAAGCCAAAAGAATTTGGCACAATAACACTTCAGTTGTACAGTTCTGCTGTTTGTTTTTCATCCTGTCTTCAGTTTCCTTATTAAGTTAATGATGGGTAAAATTAAAGATTAATCACTCAACTATTTTTCTGAAGTCATATGAAACCACAGCACGCAAACAGGGTGATTATTATCACTCTAATTAGAAGGCGATTTTCTTTGAAACTTTCTTGCCCCCAAATGAAATTACTGCGCTGTAAACCTAGCAGGTTATGAAAAGACCACAGTTGTTTGCGACACAGAAGCCTGTGGTGTATTTACTCAAACTGATAAGTGTGAAGGATATCTATAAATCCCTTTCAAAACTCAGGGTTGTATTTTCTATTCCTAGGCTAAGAAAATTAATCTTTTAGGCAGCAGGTGAAAACAAGCAGAATTATGTTGGGGCCTTCCCCTTTATTCAATACCAATGTGGAGCTATTAAAGCTTCCTAGGGAACCACATTTTCTCAATGGATCAAGTCACTAAGGAAACAAAGCAAACTTTATCAGTACTGCACAACTCTACATTCCAGGAATTCTTAGCACTTGGCATCCATATACCACTCCAGAAGCACGAGATCAACTCTCTGTCTTGCAGAGCTACCAAGGAAAGCTATGAAATTCTCAGTGAGGTGCTCAGCTCCACAAAGTTACCCACGTGAGGAGGTGCTGATGGCCTGTGGGAGGTCTCCCAAAGGGCACACAGGAAAGAAAGTGTATTTCCTATCATGACATTTCTGAATAAAGAACAAAAAAATAGCTCCTACTCTGGCAAGTTCCATCTTGTTTGTCACAAGCCAGTTAAGAAATATATGAAGTCACCTTGCAAGACAATCCACATGGACTGTAAAAGCAAACAAAAAAAGTTCCTGGATTCAAATCAGCAATTGCAGAATGAAAATATTTGAGTTTAATTACAGCTGGTCATAAAACAGAGATTAGCCTCTCATTTGTAAATGTACTGATCTAGTATCTACAACTTAAAAGGGGAAGGGAGTAGAGATACTACCTAATCCTACTACTTTGAATGAATTAAATGAAGGACATTATGTCAGCAACAATGTGCAATGTCACTCCATGTATGAATTCCTTTCAGCTTTTAAAAGACATCAAACAGATTATATCTGTATGAAAGTCAAGGCAAGGTCAATCTGAAACCAAGAGGCATTTTATCACACAGCATGGACTGGTAGGCAAGAGAATGCTATCAGCTATCTCTATGGCACTATTTAATTTGTACTTTTCTTGCAATTGAAGGAAGTCATATATCCTTAACAAGTGTTTAAACTGAAAGTGTCCGAGACTCAAACACCAATTAGTAGGATTCAATAACCACTGATTTTGATAAAGCTTTCAACAAACAGAGGATTTAAAATATATATTTAAAAAAAAAAAAAAAAAAAGGGAAAGGAAAGGAACACGGTAATAGGTAGAGACACTTTTCAACATCTTTCCACTTTACATCACAGAAGCAGAAAGGTGCACACCAGTGGAACCCTAGGCATTCTTTAGCAAAAACAAAAAAAAATCCAGCTGTTTTTCCATAACTCTCCTGAAACTTCCAAGCAAAATGAAATGAATCATTGATGAAAAATGAGAAAAGAAAGCTCAAACAACAACAACAAAAAGAACTCCAACTGAAACAAGAATTTGGAAGTGCTGTTTGTGTTCAAATTTAAAAATAGTGCCTTTTATCCATCACTTCCCATGCAGATGAGGTGATCCGCAAATTCAGACAGGTAAATTAGTTTTTAATCCTATTTGAATAAACACTGAAATACCAACAGACAAAAATGCAAATTCAAAGAAAGCCAGATAAAACTTCAAAATAATTTCACTCACAATTGTTTTCTTAGTTTGCTTCGTAATAAACATTTTTCAAATCTGTCTGTCAAAAACCTTAAGATATCCATTAAATACTGAAAAAAAAAAAATAATTCCTTCTCTTCCTGTCTCTGACAGGACAGGACTAACACACATTACTTATATGAACTCAAGTTCACAGCTGTTAGATACAGCATGAGTATCTCCAACTGTTGCTGATGAATCTGCTTCTTCCAACTGCATTTGAACTCACTGTGAAATGCCAAAAGAAGCTCCCCCTGCACTCAGCAATGCGAAAGCAGCAGTTGCAGACAAGCAGCCAAAACAAGACGCATGACATTCAAACATTTGGAAAAGAGATGTTAAAACTAGAATTTGGTAGAAGTATCAACAACATGTAGTGCATCTTCTTGGACCTCATCAACATCAGCTTTTAATCCAGCACATCTAGGTAAAGGATCATGACTGTGCATTACACATCTTGGAACAACAAGTACCTCAGCAGCAACAAGTCTGGAGAAAGAACAAGAACTTACTTCCTGGACACCAGCTGATCCTGCTTCTGTTCTCTTTAATGTAGGATACACACATCCGGTGAGAACTGCATTCTTCAGGAACTGAAGATTGCTCCTCAAGTTTCCAAGAACCTGCAGCACACATATAAACAGAAGTTATTGTAATTCCAGAAATTCAGATCACAGAATTCTCATTATTAAGACTGTTTGCAAGAAGTTAGATAGCTTTTAACAACAACTATTTAAACAGTGTCCTTTTGGTACACTCATTTAAAACCTAAAATGTGCTCAATGTGACATACTACCTTTGATTATAGCTCTCTCTCCATTACAGGAGATAAACATTAACTGCCTAGGTAGTATAAGAATGCAGAAACTATACTGAAGAAGTTAACTTTCTTACCTCAGAGTGGCATAATAAACTTTCCTGTTTATTATTTAAAGAAATAAACAGATTGTATAACCCAAACCACAATAAATCTGTGACTGAGTATCACCTTAGAAAAGCTAAAAACCCCAGATTCCTTTCAGTTAAGTCTCCGACGCAGAGAAGGAATTAATTCACACATTTGTTTCTGGAGGAAAAGGAACATACAGAACCCCTCTGCAGATGGATGGATGAACACACAGGACAGAATCAGATTATTAGGAGAATAACAACAAAAGAGAGAAAGAGATTCAGAGAAGAGCATGAAAATAACACAATAACAGGAACTAAAATAACCCAGCCTGCAGAAGGAAAAAGATATGCATTCGACAGTTCTGAAACCTTAGTTAGTAGTGTATAATAAAATTGAAAGAGATACGATAAGTAGAGCTCATTAACTGAAATACATACATAATCAAAATACAGCATTTATCAATTTGCACTCCTTACGCCTTCTGAAGGTGCTGAAAGCAGTTTTTTTATGTGGCCACATCAAAGAACCGTGCTTTTGATAAAGGTATTTTTTCTGTCAATCAGCTCCAGCAAGAAGTAAAGATTAAGTTAAAATATCAGCAATGTTTATACTCAGCTACGAAATCCAAAACAGTATACAGTGGTTGAATTCAGGGTTTTGAGAGCATTTCTGCATAACCCAAAAGCATTATGTCCTGAGGAACCAATGGATGGAAGGGAAGGTGAAACACACTCACTAATCCCTTAACACCACCTGGCAGAAGTGAATTACAGGTGGCTCAGAGCATTAAACATGATCACACATTAACGAGACACGTGCAAGTCATGGTGCCACCACAGAGCAGGGAACCAGCTGAGGTTGTACTGTTTGCTCCTCTGTACCAGTTTCCACAGTAGCACACTCTAGGCTAATCTTTTCTATTTCAGAGGAATGCAATGTAGATAAACAGAAGGGTTATTTATTTGAATAAAGAGCATACAATAGACAAGAAAACAGTCCTCACTGGCAATAACATCTTCCCATGAGTATCTGGGTGGAGCATTTCCCAATAGTCCCAAACACAACATTTCCCAAGTCCAGCAAGAACCATTTACTGAGATTTAACAAGTTAGCTGTAACACAGAGTGGACCTCTCTATACTTAAAAAGAAAGCAAGATGACCACACAGAGGATATTGTGCTGAAGACAACGCTCTCCTGCTGAAACAATAAGCCTCCTGCACAGGGGACACTCTGCAGAAAGAAGGGGGCCACATGAGAGAAATTCATCTTTGGTGTTCCCAATGAGGTTAAACAACGGCAAGTGTAGAGTCTTACACCTGGGGAAGAATAACCACATGTATCAGTTCAGCTTATGGGATGGCCTGCTGAAAAAGACCTCTGTGGAGAAGGACTTGGGGGTCCTGGTGGACAAGAAGTTGGCCATGAGCGTGCAGTGTGCCTTGGTGTCCAAGAAGGCCAGTGGGATCTTGGGGTGAATTAAAAAAGAGCGTAGACAGCAGATCAAGGGAGGTGATCCTCCCCCTCTACTGTACCCTGGTAAGGCCACATTTAAACTATTGTGTCCAGTTCTGGGCTCCCCAGTTAAAAAAGATCTCCCATATGAGGAAAGGCTGAGTAACCTAGGCCTGTTCAGTCTGGGTTAGAGAAGACAGGGGAAACCTGATAAATGTCCATAAACAGCTACAGGGAGGTGGAAGGCAAACAGATGAGGCCAGGCTCTCCTTAGTGGTGTGTAGCAATAGGACAAGGAGTAATGGCCTAAAACTTGAACACAGTAAGTTCTGTACTAATATTGGAATAACTTCTTTACAGTAAGGTGACTGAGCCCTGGAACAGGTTGCCCAGAGAGGCTGTGGAGTCTCCTTCTATCTGTGGAGATATTCAAGACGCATCTGGACACCTACCTGTGTGACCTACTGCAGGGTACCTGCTTTGGCAGGGGGGTTGGACTCGATCTCTTGAGGTCCCTTCCAACCCCTGCAATTCTGTGATTGAGCCAACCACAGCAATTTTCAAACAAAACTCACACTAGCAAACCACAGGAACATCTAGGACGCTTCTATCCTATGATTTGGAAACAGACTCCCAGTCCATGTCTCTCACATAGTTTTGAAGAAATGCAGAAACTTAGCTCTTATTGTTGTGGTGGCCGAGTGACCCATATCTCACACGCAGAGTGCTTACCCTCATATTTCTGGTTCCTGGGGCAGAAACTGGCTCTGCTTGCCCTTAGCCAGGGTCAAAGCACTAATTTGGAGAGGACGGAAGAGGAGGGAAACTTCCCTTGCAGAAACAGGGAAGGGCACTTCTCTGTTCCTATCATCACCGCTCTCCTACAGAGCTCATCTGCAATTAGGACATAAGGACTCCCAAAACAATTAGCATAGTCTTAACCTTTCACCTCCAGTACACTGACATGAATACAATCTCTGATCACAGAGCCATTTTTACTCCATGTACTACAGAGAGAACTGCAAAGCTCCACACGCTGCAGAAGAGTCTGCCACACTTCAGCTTACACTTACAGTTGTGCAGTGTTTGCCCTGAAGGTAGCTGAACATTGCCAGAAATTTATACTGGATGCAAGATGACTTCTGGATACTATGGCAAGCAGTGCTTCCACTAAAAATATGCAGAAAGCAACCCTGTTAACAACACCATATGCTATAGTGCTCGAGAAAAAGCTTGGTTACTCACAGTGTTATGCAGGTAAAATGTATTAAAAAAACCAACATGTAAGGAACAAAACTGCAGTTTATATGCAGCACATGCATTAACCTTTGCACACAATAGACCAGGTGCAATACAGCTACTGAAATCCAGCCCTTCACTTATTTTCAGCAGCCTCCCTTCTCCCTGGCTATGACCAGGCTTACAGCACGAGGCCAAACATCACCTTCCAGGTAGCAAAATGCTCGCTGTTCCCACGGTCGTTAAGTACTCCACTTTATTGGTGGAAAGCTGACATCACGCTGACAGGGTCATGAACCTGAAACTGTTAATGTTATACTTTTAGATTCCTCTTAACCTCAGTGTGAAAAGTTCTTTCCTCCCAGCTCTCCAGAAGCCAAGTAGACTTATGCACGCTGACAAAATGGTCCACCAAGATAAAAAGACACAGTTCAGCACTAGGAAGAGATGAGAGTGCATTAACTGATCACTTAAGGCAGTGAATGGGTTGTACCAACACAACACAAATGTCCCTGCTAAGCCCTAGTGAGCAACCTGCAGAGGAATACACTGCACAGAAACCAGCAGTGCCATGACCAAGAGCGCACATACTAAAAGTTATATGGAGGGGAGAAGCAGAGCCAACCCCAGTTTGCAGTCAGAACAGAGTTGTGGGACAGGGAGGAAGAGATGAATGTGCTGAGAAAAGTTCCCTGTCTGTTTCAGTCCAAGGGAGAACTCCCCTCCAGGGGGGAAAAAAAACAACAAAAAAAACCCAGCTGTGATCATCACTGATTGCTATTCTAAATGTTATCCCTGCACAGCCTCCTACAGATGCAAACAAGGGGTTTAAACACATCTTGCTTTTGATCATTAGAAATAATTGCCCAGAAGTTATAGAAAAGGGGACAGGAGGCCAGCTACAAAAAGGTCTTTAACCAAAATTTTTCTGATGTTTATTAGCACAGAAAGTCCCTGGTGAATAAATACAGCTTTGTAGTCAGCTAAAAATTAGAGCTATTAGAATGTATCTTGACAGCTCCAAGAAAAGGACTGCTGTGTAGATGCAGAGAAAGTTTATAATCAACTTCCCACAAAAGCTTTAATTTAGCATGTGTGTCACTGGACAGAAACACTGAGGCTAGAACAGACTTTTTTTTCCCCTCAAATGTATTAATAACTAATCCCTTTAGGATTATGTCAGGCACGTCATATTAGGATGGCTTGGGCTCATCTTCACCAGCAGGTATGTTAAAATGCAACTATACTCATCTACAACAGCACTCCACTCATGCAGTGTTACAGGGGAAAGGCATCTGTTGGGCCAACACTGATCGAGGCCACACAACTGCTCTGCTTTACTCAACATGAAGCGATACAGGCAAGAACGGCCTTAGAGAATGATGCAAAACCTTACTTTTCACACACCTGAAATTAAAAGAACACTCTTCTTTGCTCACAACCTTCACAAAATGTAAGTGGCAGGGCAGTTTCTGTTGTTACAAAAGGTACATTTCTGCACTGCAAGTGCTTGGTGTAAAGGGTCACATGCAAACCACTGCACAAATGAGCAGGACCTGAGAATGAGCTTTCCTGGTTTCTGTTAATTTATGGCCCAATGTTACATTCCTCTCATGCAATGCCATAATCCTCAGTGAATGACTTCACATTATCCTTCTCAGAGTAATCTAGGAATGCAGATAAAAAGAACATCAACCTTGCCTTCATAAGACTCTCTCTTAACCCTCAGGGGTTTAGGTGCCTGATAGAGTTTTAGATAGGAATAAAACTCCAAGCATGCCTGCTTGGCTGCCGTGTAACCCTGTAGTGCCTACAGCTCTCAGAACACACAGCCTGCTTCCCAGGGCATGCGCACCAACAGAACTGCCTTAACCACCAATGTGTGTCCAAAGCTCTGTTCGGTTCTCAGCATCCTTACTTCACTCCCATCTGCTGAAATTAAAATGTGTTATGAGGCACGATTTCCAGATCTAACCTTAATCCTGACAATACAACCATGAGTTTGGGAAGGGGCTGGCTATACCAGAAGCCTTTTAGCACAGCACAAGCACCAGGACAGGAAGCATCCAGATTCACATCTCCTCAGCTCCACCTCAGGCCTCACTCCACAGCTGAAGATATCTCTGCTGTGAGGACCCCACACTTGGCCATGCAATGTCAGGTTCAGCCCAGGATTCCTGCCCCAGAGGGCACCATGTCTGAAATTCTGCCCCAAACTGCAGAAGGATCCTTAGGTACAAGCTTCTGGCCTGGCCTTAGGATGGGGGAAGCATTGAAAAGTGACTACTCAGGAACCTAACTGCAGGACAGAGTATGCAGCTGCAAATGGGAACAGCTGTATACTCTCATCCAGCTAGAGCAAAGGGCTGAGCTTCTAGAGAGGCTAACCTGCAGGTCAGACCTCCCAGATCTCCTGCCAGCCACTCCAGGCCCTCTGCCCATGGCTGTCCCTGGTCGCTGCCTTTCAGCTTCTCCCACAGAAGCTGCAGGTGCCTGCCATGAGCTTGCAGGCACTGGGGCAGCTGCCAGACAGGCAACCACGTGTACGAGTTCTCGCACTGCCCAGGGTTCCTCACTGCCTTCTCCCATCAGCCGCAACAGAGGAATGTGTTTGAAGTATTCACTTGCACTCTGCTTTCTAAAGATTCAGTATAACTAATCACATGCAACACTTGTGTCTATTGTACTTAAGCAAACAGCACTCTACCACTAGAGCAGCTCTCTCAATACTCACAGCATAGGTTGCTGTTAAGAGCAGCACCTGAAACAGGTCCCACACCTCCCCAACACACACAGCACCAGGAGAGCTGCCGAGCAGTGCAGGCATCACCTCTACTCCAGAGCTGCGCAGGGAGTCCCAGGTACAGCAGTACGAGGAACGGTTGAGGGAACTGCAGCAGGAGCCCCTTCAGAGCTGTCAGGCTTTATAATGATAAGATCACAGAGTGGCTTAGGTTGGAAGGGACCTTAAAGCCCATCTAGTTCCAACCCCTGCTGTGGACGGGGCTGCTCTCCAACAGACCAGGCTACCCAGGGCCCCATCCGCCCCAGCTTTGAACAGCTCCAAGGACGGGGCAATAGCTTTTAATCAGTTTTAAGTGTAACAGCGAAGAGCTAGCAATCTGTTAGGAAGCACAGATATTACATTACATTAAGATCTAATGTTTCCCCCACCTTCCATGAAAAACAGACTTATAAATACAACATACGGCACAAGAGGTCTCCAGCCATGCAAAGCACCACCAGTGGCACCAGCCTCGCTGGGAAACATACCCTTCAGAAAGCAAACCAACATCTACTCAGACCTCTCAGTCGTAACACTTCAATTTTCAGTATGCACAAATGCAGCTCAGAACAAACTTAGGGCCGCCAGCCGTGACACAGGCAGCACGCAGCTTACACCGTTCACTTCTGGAGTTCTTTATTTTGCTTTTGGGACCTCTTCTGACTCAGACTTCTGCATCCGAATAGCAGGAGAGAAGAAAGGCTTTGGAGAAACACACGTACACAAAAGAAAAAAGAAGAGGGAACCACTGTGTTTTGATTTGCAGCAGACACAGAAGTAACCTTCAAGGTTACCTTGCCCTGTTTGAGGCCTCAGGAAGGAGAAAAACACAGCTTCAGTAATGGAATTTCTCTCTAACCCCAGGTCCCACCCTGCACAAGAACTAACGACTGGAAAGCTTTTGATTCGGAGCTCCACAAGTAGCACTCAGCCAGAGGCACAGCAAAACTCGCTCATTTTCAGGAGAAGAAAAGAACTTCTTGCTCAATAAGTAGCAATTATGCCACAGAATTTACATGCCGAGCACGGCCGAGCGCAAGAACACCAGATCAGTCAACCATAGCGCCGGCGCTTCGAGTATGATTAACAGAACGAACTTCCAAAGGTCAATTAAATGTCAACACGTTTTAAAGAGATATTCTTCTTCGGCGCGGTCAGCGGTGCCCACCAGAACCGGCGCCGCTTCACTCCCGACACGGGCAGAGATGACAACGACCCGCCCCGACGCGGCTGCCCGCACGGCTCAGCCGCTCTCCCGTTCCGCTCGGCCAAGCGCGGAGGCGCCGCTCGGCCCTGCCCGACACAGCACGGAGTGCGGGCCGGCAGCGGGAGCGCCCTGACTGAGCGCTTTCCTACAGACGAACGCGGAGGGGCTTTGATCCGCGCGGCGCTGCCCGGATGTACATCCCGGCGGGGGAGGCGGGATTTCCAACCTCCGGCAGAATTAATTCCGAGCGCGTTAATCACGGTTCGGCAGCAAGAACTCCGCGCTACGAGCCGGCCCCGAGGCACGCAGCGGTACCGGCGCATCCCCACTCAGGCCCGGCCGATCGGTGCTCTCAGAAACGATAATAAAGAAAAGTTTGCGTTCCAGCACGAGCCCGGGGCTCCCAGCCCTGCCGAGCGGCGGGGCGGCACCGCGTCTCCAAGGCTGCAGCCGGCATGACAGCCGCGCTCGCCGTGCGAAATTTCAAGTTTCGGGAAGAAGAAACAATAATAATAATATCAAAAAAATAAAAGTTGTCCCGCCCTCCGGCACCCCTCCGCCCCCACCCGCAGCCCCCCACTCGCCACCCGCCCTTCCCGCTGCTCACCTGAGCCGAGCCCAACTTTGGCACTCCGGGCAAAACTTGCGGCACGCAGCTCCCCGCTCCCAGCCGCCCCACCCAGCCCCGCCCCGCCCCGCCCCGCCGGCCTCCCCCGGGCTCCGCCACGGAGGCGGGGAAGGGGTGGAGGAGGCGAGGCTCAGCCGGGTCGCGCGTTGTCTTCCCTTGGCGCGTGCTTCCCGGCGGGGCCAGCCCAGCTCCTCCTTCACCCGCCATGTTCTTTGTTCCCCCCGCCGCCGAACCCCCGCCGCGCCCGGGCCGCCCCGGCCGCAGGTGCCCGCCCCCGCCCGGAGACCGAGTGCCGCCTCCCCGCGCCCGAGGGGATTCCGTCCCTCTCCGCCAATCGGCTCGGGGGGAAGGGGCAACCCGGCCAATGGAGCGCCGAGAAACGGCGAGTAGTCTCGCGGGGAGAGCCAATGGAGCGGGCGGGAACGCCTTCCCTTCGGCCCGCGGTGCCCGGGGGCAGCGGTGCAGCCCTCGGTTGGTGTGGGCTCATGGATAGCGCAAGGGAGTTCAGTTCCTGCATGGCGTACTGGCCCCCGTCAGCGTCCTGTGCCGGGCTGTCGCACTATGCTGCTTCCCATAAGTTGGTTCCCATGAGACAGGATGGGAAACAGGTGACCAGAACGGGAATCAGGAGAAAAACAGGGTGACAGCTGTGCTGAGGAGAGAGAAGTTGGTAGGGACTGAAGCAGCCTGACAAACTGAGAAGGTTTGTGTGTAATCGTTGTCTCTGCCGCTGATAAAAGCTGCCTTTGATGGGTCTTTACCACAGCTTTGGAGTGTGAGGGATACTAAGATTCTGCTCACGGAATCATAGAATGGCTGGATTGGAAGGGACCTCAAGGATCATGAATATCCAACCCCCATGCCACAGGCAGGGCTGCCAACCTCCACATTTAATGGAGCTTCTTTCTGAGGGAACTTCACTGTGTGACATTGTCCTTCAGCCAGTTTCTTGTTGCATTTTATCCCGCTTCTCACTAACTTCCAGATGTTTAATGACACCTTCCTTATAAATTTGCTCTAAATCCTCAGTGACTGACGGTGGCAGAGCAAAAATTCTGTTTCTACTTAGTTGCGTACTCCCCAAATCCCTCCTGCAACAATCAGGTCCAGCTTCCTGACGCCCGGAAGGTCCACCCATCACAGCAGACCCACAGGTGACATGCAGCAGCAGTATGAGCTGCCACAGTGCTGGAAGTTCCTGCTCACAAACTATTCCCACTGTAAGAGCAACATTTTGTATCCCTCTTGCGCAGGGAGGAGGTTTCTGTAGACTCAGAGCAGCGATGGCACTGCTGCTTGGCCACAGACGGTGGCACCCAGCTGGGTCCCTCAGGGTGAGCAATGTTTCACACTCTGCACAGCTTGGTAAATGTATGAGGTTCTGTTACATATGTAATTTGTGCAGGGTTATATTTACTGAATGTTTTCAGTTTCACTTTATTATTGTAATATATATGAGGGAAAGCCATTATTGTCTGTGAATGAAATGCCCTCTGAGTTAGAAAAAAAAAAAAAAGTGTCTACTTTGTTATGCCATGTTTCTCACAAATGCAGTAAGTAAATGGTGTCCTTGTAGTGATTAATAGAGGAGTCATTCAGACCTTTGTGGGGGCTGGGCTGTTTTTAATTATGAAGATAATCTCCTCATCCAACCCATTGCTCAGAGACATAACAACTGTGTTTTACTCACTTTCATTGCTGTACTGAGATGAAAAACTGTTGATGTATTCTCCCCAGAGGTCATCAGAAATACAAACAATGTTCTGGACCTAATGCATACATACAGACTGGTGGATGAAGTCTGGGGTTTATTGTACTGTAAGGGAAGCTGAACAGAAGGGAAGGAGGAGATTAAACAAGACGTTTGGAAATCAGAGTAACTGACCCTACGTGGCATCTGATTTGTGGCATAGCTGTTGTGTGGGAGACTGGGAAAAAGAAAAAGCAGTCTTCTATTTTGTTTTGTTTGTTTGGTTTTGTTTTTTAAATGACGGAAATACACACTGGAATGTTAAGGGCAAAACCAGTGATATCTTATTGCCTTTTTTGATCCAAGTTCATGAAATGTGGCTCAAATCTTTTTTCAGCGAGTACTCATGACCTTAAGGTTTATTTCCATCCAAAAGCCAAGTTAAGGGTAGTGTTGGGAATGTCACTGACAGAGTCGTGTTTCCTTGTAGAAGAATACACCTTCTTCAATACTCATTCAATATTCCCAGCTTTCTACCAGCAGGGTTTCTCAAGTCTCTCTCAGGCCACAGTGTTTCCCATCCTTCCTTTGCAGGTGTGACTGCTCTTCTCTGCCTTATCTTTGGCTGTTCCTATCTCAAAACAATCCCTTTCGGTGAAAAAATATCTTGCCCAATGTTCTGCTTCTGAGCAGCATGGCTATGTAGCCTGGACTTTTGGGAGGAATTGTTACAGTGCCTTTCTTACTCCAGAGGGGAACATGTATGCTAAGAGGTACGCAGGTAAGCACTCCGCCAAGCAATACGTTTTGGCAATACAACACGATATCCTGCACAGTCCAGCTTTCAGAACAGCTCCAGTTTCTCTGTCTCCTAAGTCTATCCTGAGAGGAACTGGTGTGGGTTGGTCAAGAGTAGAGCCATAGTGAATTTGTGAAGTGAATAACACTATGATTGGGCAGTTCTGCAGTTTCATTTCTGATGGAAACAGTAATTCCAAAAAAGAGCATGCCATTCCGAACTTCATTTTCTTTTCCATGTAAGAGGTGGCTTCTCATCTTCAGGAGATGTAATGCGAATATGTATGTTTTGGGCGAGAGGGGTTACATCTTTTTCTTCCACTATTGTCTGTAGTGCTGAATGGGTTTCTTCAAAAACATCAGTTTTCACAAGTGTCCTCACTGATAAATAGGGCGGCAGCAGATGTCCAATTCTGTATTTTTGTCATGAGTTACAGTTAGGGAGCAATATACTATGTACTGTGTAGCCTTCAAAAAAGATCTGAGTAACAGGAGTGTTGTTTTGCATTTTTGTTACTGTTGCTCAAAGTAAAATTAAAATCACTTACAAAATGCTACTTAGCAATTTAATCAAAAGTGAGTTTTTAACTCCAGGTCTCAACTAAAAAAATATTTATCTTCATGTATTCACAAAGATTCAGTTTGATGCCCCATTGAAATTCCTATAATATCCCCAGTTATCTTATTCTCTCTATGTAATTATGAATAGCTTAACTCCGTACAACACTATATTAGAATTTATGCTAGCAAAAAAAAAGAGCAAGTTCTCTAACAAAATATCTAGCCATGACGTACTGACTGCGAAGGTAAATGCTTGCTACCACTGATAGGCTTAGCTGAGCACTGCAATAATCTTCTTAAGGAGCAGAACCAAACTTTTGGTCTGCTCAGAGCCACATTTACTCAACAGATCTCACATTAATGAAGTACAGAATCACAGAATATCCCAAGCTGGATTTCTCTAGTCCCAAAAGTCTGTGATCTAAATTGCAGAGGAGGACAGCTGAACAACAGACAAGGATTGAGGAAAGAACACAAGAACATTGGGAACTGTTAGGAATGCAATCAGTGGTGCCACCACCCATCAGCTGTCTAGCTGCTGATGCTTGTTTTGTCCTGTGCATGCTTCCCATTTCCTCTGTTCTGGATAATCAGAAATCTTTGCTCTGGTGAATCACAGAATCACAGATTGGCCAGGGTTGGAAGGGACCTCAAGGATCATGAATCTCCAACCCCCCTGCTATAGGCAGGGCCACCAACCTCCTCATTTAATACTAGACCAGGCTGCCCAGGGCCCCATCCAACCTGGCCTTGAACACCTCCAGGGACGGGGAATCCACAACCTCTCTGGGCAGCCTGTTCCAGCACCTCACCACTCTCTGAAAAGAATTTCCCCCTGACCAGTCTAAATCTTCCCTCCCTCAACTTAAAACCATTTCCCCTTGTCCTGCAGTTATCAACCCTTTCCAAGAGTTGATTCCCCTCCTGTTTGTAGGCTCCCTTTAGGTACTGAAAGGCTGCAATGAGGTCACCCCGCAGCCTTCTTTTCTCCAGGCTGAACAAACCCAGGTCCCTCAGCCTGTCTTCATAGGGAAGGTGCTCCAGTCCCCTGATCATCTTCATGGCTCTCCTCTGGACCCTCTCCAAACAGCTCCCTGTCTTTCTTGTACTGGGGGCTCCAGCGCTGGACACAGTACTCCAGATGGGTGCATCCAGGAATGATAATATTCTTTTTTTTCACATTTGAGGAAAGAAATTTAAGAAAATACTTGTTCTTTTTCTAAGAATAAACCTTAATAAGAATGATGCCAATAGGTTATATCAGCAATGGTATGGAGTTAAACCGTAACACTCATTATTACAGAGAAAGAAGGAAGTAAGTGGGGATATTACGGGCATCCCCATTGGGCATCAACTTGAATCTTGATGGATACATCAAGATGTTGTTCCACCATCCTTTCCTCCAAATAAACATTCAATTGTAAAATGATAATTTTCTGTTTCCCCTCCCAATTCAAATTTTACTGTTTACGTAGAGAGTAACTAGATCTTCTCAGACATCTTTTCACTCCATTTCCTTCCCCATTTTTTTCCCCAAGAAAAAAATCCAGGCTTGCAAGGCTGATGGACAGCTTTATAATAAAGACAGAGGGGGGCCATTGCAGCAACCATTCAGTGCTCAGTTTTGGTGACCTGCATACATGTTTGGTGACTTGAGTGTCTGAAAGTTGGCATGAGTTCTGTTTACTAAGACCAAGAAGAAAAAAAAAGTGTTCTGACATAGCTGGTGTGTTATGTACTAAGGGATCGCCGTCAATTCCTGAGAAATGCTGTGGTTGAAAACGTTGGGGGAAAAAAAAAGTGGGGAAAAAAAAAAAAAAAGCTTATAGTGAATTCTTAAAAGATATAGAAGCTCTGTATGTTCTGTGGTCGTGTTATAAACTCTTTGCAATCTTTTTTGGAAAGAACAAAAACCTAAGTGCACAGTGAGCAAACGCACATACAGCTCTAGGCCTGGGAGCCTCAGCGGCTCTGCTCTCTGCACAGTAAGTATT